CGGGCGGCGCGGCGTCCTGACGGGTAGGGCGGGCCCGGAGCTGCCTGCCGAGCCGGGTGGACAGGTGGGCGTGGGCAACGCGGCCGGCGGAACTGGCCGGCCATCCCGCCGCGGCCCTGACCCCTGGGGTGCACTGGCTGCTTGGGGTCAAATCCAAGCTGACCTTTCTCCGGAGGAAAGATAAATTATTATGGTTGTGGGTGAGCGTCAGTGCAAATGTTTTCAGAGTCCTCCTCCTCCTCCTCCGGCTCCGGGTGCTGTTTGAATCCCCCGCATTCCTCAGCCCTGGGCAGGGAGCGGCGGCGGCCTTTGTGTCTCCCGGGAGCGCATGCCACCTCGGGAGGAGAGAGCGGACCGGAGTTACAGAGCAGGGAGAGACATTAGCGTGAGTTTTTGGTTTTTTATTTTTTTTAATCTTTTAAAGCGTCCCAGTAAACCTAGAAACCTAAAAAATTAACTGCAACAGCAAATGTTGTGGGTTTTACAGACGTCTGTTTCTTTGTCTTTTTTCATTCCCTCCTCATTGCCAAAAATATTTGTTCGCTGGAGAACATGTCCCGAAAGAGCTGTTTCCCTCCTCCCTCCTCCCCCACCCCATTCATCCAGGTAAAATTGGTGTCTAGCATTCTCTATGACATGCTCTAAGTAAGGGAAAGCCTTCACCGAGGCTGAGGGTGATACGCCCCATTTGACGCGGCCTCTTTATTTTTGCCAGCACCCTTTCCAGTGTGGAGATATGTTTTCTCTCTACCAGTTGGATTGCATCTTTCGTGGGAGAGAAGAGCATCTGTCCTCCAGGCTTTGTCTGCTCTGCGGCTGCACCAGCACAGCAAAGCCACATAAGGAGGCTTTTCAGCAGAGGAGCCCGGGGTTGAACTCGTGCCATGGGGAATGAATTCTTCAATAGACCCCTCGTCCTCTTCTGGAAGTTAAAGAGAGGCGATTTGCAGAAAAGCATATGTGTGTGAATGCATCCTCCTGTCGTGGTATTCTGTTCCTTTGTGCCTTTAAGTTCCCGTGCTTCTGTGTGGACTCGTTTTTCATTGTGATGAGATAGATCCCTAGTGGCCGTGCAGCTCAGGACCCTCGCTAGCCGGCACACAACGTAGTTCCCACTGATCACAGCAGTGTGAACTGATTTTGACAGTGGAGAGCTTTATTCCTGCTGAACAGTGACTGGCTCTTCCAGAATTAGTTTGGGAAGCTACCAGCGAGGTAACTAATGCCCCTGGCACTGTATTGCTAAAGGGGAAACTCAGTGTTGCTAGAAATCAGGTATGGACTGTGTAGTGTTGTTTTTTATGGGGGAAAATGTGTGTGTAGACAAGCCGCCTACAAGGCAGGGTTTACACACGGCTCTAAGTCACTCAGTTACCATTGGTTTCCAGTTTACTTAACAGCTCCATCTGTATCATCTTGAGCAGTGAATCAGTTCCCAAACTAAGTCATAGTAAGCCATTAGTTTATTGATAAGGACTTAAAAGCAATTTGAAATATACACAATACCTGTGATCCTCACAGTCACAAATGCTCTAAGAATTAGTTCGAACCATTCCTCCACCAACTGTCATTGTTTGAGACACAAAGGTAAGTGCGGGGTGGTCGCCCAGGCCAGTGTTCCAAGAATGTGGAGGTGGGAGCAGGAAGATCTGGAATTCAAGGTCATCCTTGGTAGTAAAATACAAGTTCAAGAAAAAGAAAAAGGCACCAAAATAACGTTCTGAGTCATGTGTTGTGATACCCCATAGAAGAATAAAAAGACACAGCCAGTCGGGAGAGTAGTAATCCATAACCTGAACATGAGGGACAGGGCTCAGGCTGAAAGAGTGCAAGCTCTAGACCGTAGGCAACTTAGGAAAACCATGTCTCAAAATCGGGGCTGACTAAGGCTGTGGTTCGGTAGGACAGAGTTTCCTAACATACATGAGGCCCTGAGCTCTGTCACCAGTATCATAAAAAGAATTATGTTTAAAGATGTCCAAATGATGTGTAGAAATAAAATCCTGATCCTTTTTGGTTCATAGCACGATGGCTGGTCTTGCATGATGGCGTGATGCAGAAAAACCTAACATCCTATGGGTTCTGTGAACCACATCCAAACAGAAACAGATTCAGTGAAGGATGATTGTCTATGAAGCCCAACAAGGCTGCACTTGATAAGGCTGACTTGATAATTTGTTAGTCAGTTTCGAAATGTGCTTCCACTTTATACTTAGCTCCTGATTTTAAAGATATTAAAATAGTTACATATTACACAATAAGAACCATCAGTGCTAATATTTATTAACTTTCCAGCCAGACTTTAGCTTTTCTTTTTTCTTTGTTTTTTTTTTTTTTGACAGAGTCTCATGTATCTCAGGCTGGCCTTTTACTTGCTATGTAGCCAAAGATGACCTTGAACTTGTGGTCCTCCTCCCTTCGTACCTCCAGAGGAATAGGACTGTGGTGTGTGTCACCACTTCCAGCTTCTGCGGATCTAGGAGTTTGAACACGTAGCTTCCCGTATGCTTGGCAGGTACTCTGCCAACTGAGCTACATCCTAACCCTTTGAAGTTTATTTTTAATAAGGTATTTTTTTAAAAAAACAAATTCTACAACCAACAATATGCAATAAACCTTTTTCTGCCTCAATTTGCACAAGCCCCAAAAAAGAAGTAGAACCAGGAACAAGATGAACACATCTAAGAAAAGCAGACACAGATACAGCAACCATGTTTACTGAGCAGCAGATCACTTGACTGCCAATAACTTTCAAACTTTGCCAAGTTAGTAGAATGTTGAAATATTTCAGTTTTATAATTGCGCAAATCAGCTTACAAACCATTTTAGTGGGTCTATCAATTCAGAGGGTGTTCTTTAAACAAAATACAAGGTAAAGGGTGTAATAAGAGTGAAGGCAACCACAGCACATTGGTATAGACTGTCTTCCACCGAAGCCTCTGCACAGGAAAACTGTCTAGCTAATTATCCTTGAAAACCAAACAGCTAACTCCTTTTCAGAACCTACAGGCTAGAACAGTCAATGTTGATTAGTTTCTTTGAACAAGAAACAAGGAAGGAAAAGAGAAAGGGGTGGGAGGGGAGGAGGAAGGGAGGAATCCCAGATTAGGTTTCCATAAATACGCGCTACTTTACCTAATAAAGAAATGTGTCTTCCAACTCTACGTCGTCATACTTCTATATGCCTGTGATTCAGTCACATTTTAGATCACCTAGTAAAATTTCCAGGAAGCTGTGTTTACGGAGAATTGTGGTGGGAAAAGATTGTAGAAGTGGGGCGTGGTGGTGCGTGCCCTTCATCCCAACAGGCAGATCTCTACCCGGTCTACAGAGTGAGTCCCAGGCCAGCCAGGGCTCTGTGGTAGGACCCTCTCTCAAGAAAAAGGGAGATGGCGGGCGGGACTTGATAATAAAAGGTTTGATCTACTACACACTGTCAGTATGACTTCACCTCCTACCTGGTGTGGATGGACAAAACGAGCTGCCAAGACATGGCCCAGTGGTGGACTATTTGCCTAGCAAGCAATAGGCCCTGTATTCAGTCCTCAGTACTGAAGACAAAAATACTACCAAGATAAGCCGCATGACGAACACTGCTCCCAAGCCAAATCTTCACCAGCTCCGTAACAGAACTAGAAAGATACCGTGAACACAATGCATATAAGAACAATACAAATTTATCAACTAATTTTGTACGTTTCATGCTCCTTTCAAATAAAAAATTATACATGTACATAATATTTCATATGGGCTACATATATAGAATATATATGTATCTATATAATTTTGCTGAAAAACTGATATTCTAAAATGTGAATCCCCATTAAATCTTTTGTTGTTGTTGTTGTTTTAATATAACAAGGTCTCAGTTTGAAACCTAGCAAGCACCAGGCCCTGGGTGACCTGAAACAAGATTCACCTCCAGCTCTTAGAGACCCGCCTGCCTCTGCATCCTGAATGTGAGGACTGAAGGTGTGCACCACCACACCTGGCTTGATAAGGTACAGCCCAGACTGGCCTCTGACTTCTCAGTATAGCCTAATGGAATGGGCCACCACAATCAACAAATTTTATTTTAGAAGTAAAAAATACATATCAACTGAAAAGTGAATGTCATTTTAGAATGCCTCACCAACAATAAAAATAAGAGGAACAGCCGGGCGGTGGTGACGCACGCCTTTAATCCCAGCACTCGGGAGGCAGAGCCAGGCGGATCTCTGTGAGT